AATTATAACCAACATGGGTTATTTCCCCTGGCACCCTGCTCCCCAAAGACTAAGCTGGGGATCCCACAGATGTGTGTGCCCTTTTCAACTGTGTATAGTGGCTTATACTTTCTTTTCTATAGCTTTTGTATTGGCTAAAGTTTTGTTTTTTTACAGAATAAGTATTAATTTTACAAAGGAGAAAAATAAAACACTTTCTAGAAAACTGTACTTGTCTGATGAGCCTGGCACATCTGGTCATAGCCGTAAACAATGCCCAGACCATGCCTGACATGTGGCCCTCAATAAATGTGATTCCAACATGCTCCCAGGTGCTGCCGGGGCACGGACTACGGACACTGTGAGTAACGAGGCTATAGACAGAATGCAGAGTCTGGCACAAGCAAGTGTTGGTAGTGTTATTTTCTACTTAAATTCTCCCCCTGCCACCAAAAGCAAACCATCCCCTCAATGCATTCTTAGAATGCATCCCAGCTGGTTCAACTCAAATCCAAACATATATTCTCTATAAACAGGCCCACTATGTTTTTCATTGGCTGTTAACTGAATTTACGTTGGTTTTTGTAAAGCTCATGCCTCCCCTGCCCCCGCACCATTTTGACCTAAGGTGGATCAACAGCCATAATTTTCCCCGATAGCCTCAGCAATCCTGTCAACTTAAATAGAGCAAGTCCCTCTCTTATGTGTACTGGATGCTGTTGGTCCCCAGTCCAGACCCACATTCAGGGCCAGCGCATCGTCCCCCAGCTGTCATGTGTGATGAGCTAACAGTGCCTGGCTGCCTCCTCCAAGGAATGGACACTGAGTAATTGACCTCCCTGCCCAGGGAAGAGGCAGCCCTCAGCCAATGCCTGGCCGGCGTGGAGTGGAAATGTCCCCCGCCTGCCTGTAGACAGGACAAGGCTGTGGTGCCATCCACACTCCAGAACCCCAATGGGATCGGGCTTGGGCTGGACACTAGCTCAGGGCACTCAGCTCCATCCTCTACCCTGTCCCGCTCCCTCCTCCCTTATAGGTTTCTTCTGGGTGTTCTCCCTCAACAAATGATTTTATAAGAATTGCCATCTTAGGATCTGCTTCTAGGGAACCCAACCTAAGACAATTTGGATTGAAAATAGCTATTTGTTTCCTGAAATATTTTCACAAACTGTTATGGAGTTTTTCCTGCTGTAGTTTCTCTCTCCCAATCTTGAATCAGATGTCATTTGGCTAGCATCCCAGCTCTCCATCTCACACTCCTCTGATTTACTCTCCTCTTGGAGAAGTTATATCCAAAAAAGACATCTTAATCTTTTCTTTCATCTGCTTAAATATTAAGGTAAGACATTTTCAGGCTCTGGTTTCCCTGGATCTTTTCCAAGATGTTTCCTTGGGTTTTGAGTCCTTCCTTAAATGCCCTGTCCCCTCAGTAGTTGCAGGCACAGGAGGAGGTGGGGGTGGAGTGGGATTAATCCTGATTCTCTATCCCACTGTCTTCACCAACCTCATCAATATTGTCGCCACAATCTCAGAGGGTCCTGGGATCCCCGAGAAGTCTTTTCATCACTCATGGCCTGGCTAATCACACTATGAGCAAGCATACCCTTCACTCAACTGTCTACTGTATTTGTGTTAACAGTGTTCATATCTTTGCTTCTGGTCTAAATCCAACATTCACTTAATAGTCAATAGCAAAAATCCAACATTCACGTCTCAATCAAAGGCAAGACGGAATTCACAGAATTCTGGTGATATCTTTTGGAAACAGGAAGGTTGTTCAATGAACTAAAAAAAACCAAACACGTCTGAAAATCACACATTTTTGCTCTTTTTACTGAGTATCTGTTTTGCACAGAGCTCAAGAGATGGCGGGGCAGGTCTCTCACACCAGGAGGCAAGCCTATTCCTCCAGCTCCAGGCACAGCAGCAGCCCCTGCTAACTGGTCAGTAAGCTCCTGGTTCCTCTTTCTAGTCCATTATCACTTGAAGGTACATCTCCATCCGAAAATAGACCAGGGCAGGGAAAACAAGTTGAAGATATTCTCACAATTTTATTTGTTTACCACTTTAAGAGTCAAAATTATGATTAAAATTTTTAAAAATGATTATCTGTAGATTTCAATTATCTAAATTAGAATGTAAGCCACTTTGCAATTTTAAAATGTCTAGTAGTCTCATTAAAATAAGTTTAGAAAAGGTCAAATTAATTTTAATGATATATTTTTATCTAACCTAATATATTCAGGTATTACCATTTCAAAATGAAATTAACATTAAAAATATTCTTGTGTATCCTTTGCCTACCAGCGTGAGTCTTTCCTGTAGAATTCAGGAGGTTGGTCCCCCAAGCAAGGAGGGATGGGAGTTGATAGACCAATACCTAGCTTCCTCACTCCTAGATCAATTCTGGGATGCATTCTATATATTTCTTCAGGGGACCCCAATGGGATTGAGTGCCCGTTGCCCACAGTGGTAACCTGCTTATGTAGTCACTTTAATTGGCTGTCTTCTCTTCACTGTGTCTCCTGGGACCATCTCCCAAAGAAACTGCTTGTATAGTCAGCTAACTCAGATATGAGTTCTTAACTACTATGCCAGTGACTCAACTTGTAAACTCTTGCCTGAGAAGCAGTCAGTCCGTAATATTTCCTGGTTAATTCTCTGTTGACGACACTGATGAGTAAACAGCTCCATCAGCTATTTACTCCAAGTGAAGATACCGAACAGCCAGCAATGCTCCCTTTGTCTTAAAGGACAGGATCGAGGAAGTGACCACAGAGTCTACCAGGAGAAGAAATAGACTATGTTCTCAAGGACATCCTCAGACAGAGATGAAAAGCTGAGAACTCTCCAGGACAACCAATGACAAACGACTGCATGAGCTGTCCCCAGTTTCTCCAGCCCTTGGGTCAGTTGTCTATGAGCCTAGATTTGCAGCTACTTGATGGGTTCATTGATAGCCTTGGGACCCTCCTCCACCGTGATACTCCCTAAGCATTCTCTCTGCCTCAACCTAAGGTACCAGCCTGGCCACACGGAGGTCAACCTTTTACTGATTCACTGGTGCTAGGGACCCAAAAAGAAGCCTTGTACTCAGACACTATAGGATTCCATTTCTATCATGTTTAAAACCAGGCAACAGCAATTTATGCTATTGGAAGTCACAATATCGGTGCCTCTTGGGAGAAAGGAGATAGTGATTTATTTATCTTTTTGTTGTTGTGTTGCTCAAGATTGAAAGGGCAGCCCTAACCGGTTTGGCTCAATGGATAGAGCGTCGGCCTGCGGACTCAAGGGTCCCAGGTTCGATTCTGGTCAAGGGCATGTACCTTGTTGCGGGCACATCCCCACTGGGGAGTGTGCAGGAGGCAGCTGATCGATGTTTCTCCCTCATCGATGTTTCTAACTATCCCTCTCCCTTCCTCTCTGCAAAAAATCAATAAAATATATATTTTTTAAAAAAGATTGAAAGGACAGCTGGAGAAGAGCAGTGGGCCCCAGTTATGCACAAGCATGTGCTCTGGAGCTGCAGCCTGGACCTCCCCGTGCTACTCCCAGGCTTAGGAGGTAATGATTTGAAGGGGGCACGAAGGAGGGGGCAGGAACTTCCAGGCTCTGGAAATACTGTTTCTTGGTCTGGGTGCTAATGATATGGGTGTGTTCACTTTGTAAAAATTCTTAAATTTGCTGAATTATGCACTCTTTTGGATGTATGTTACACTAAAAAAAAAAATCCCTTGAGAAATAGTTTTTAAAAAGGAAAAAAAACACAAAAACCTTTTAGTTCATCAGCTCACCCACTAAGGTGGAGGACATTCTCCCCAGGCCAGGGAGGAGGCTTATGGCCAGTACTCTAAGAACACAGAAGCATAGGGCCATAAAAGAAATCTGAATTAGAGGATCTGAGAAGGTCCTACGGGGTGTTGAGGGATTGGAAACTCCATCTGGAGGGAGGAGTGGACATTTTCCCATTCCCACTAAAATGCCAGAGGAAATCCTAAACTCTGAAAGGGCTTCAGGGGTCAGAGACACTATATACAGTAAATTCTATGAGGCTGTAGGGAGAGTGGGTAGTAACCAGGATGAGGATGAATGGGCTGGGATGGGATGGAATTGGGACGGGCTGAGATAGGATGGGGATTTGAAGATGGGTCCCAGATTCTGAGGGGCCTTATATGAAGCTCCTCAAGATGAGGAGTTTGGATTTCCTCCTGCCCAGAGTTGGAGACTTTTTTAGCAGGGAAGTAGCATCCTCAGAATTCTCCTCAAGGGATCACTCTGGCAAAGGTGTGGACCATCTGACCTCCGAGCTAAAGGAGAAGCTTGGAGGTCAGATGTTTCTAAGATAAAATAAATGAGGCTATCCCAATCAGAAGAGCTTAGAGAGAGGCCTGCGAGCACCCCCAGGATTCTCTGTGTAATGAGCTGGGGAGGACCTAGACTCCCACTTCATGAGAAGGGAAACTGAGGAAGGCCCAAAGGGAGGAAGACGCTTGCCTGCCAGCCTCAGGTAGGAGGCTCAGTCAGCTCTAAGTGAGCGATCATTTCCTTCTCTTTTTGAGTTCTTGGGAAGAACAAGATGCTATTTGGAGACAGGCTTACTTCCCAAGAAAGGTGCATAAAATAGCACCAGTGGGACCACAGGAACCACATCCCTGCATTCAGGCCGGACTGAGGGGCCAAACTCTATCTCACAGCATTGCGTCAGGCATCAATTCTCAGAACGTCTTCAGCCAGTGATTTGTCTTGAGTTCTGCTAAAACTTGTATCATTATCCCCATCTTAAAGGGGGCGAAACCAGGCTAAGTGAGGAGGCTTGCCTGGCCCAAGATGACACAGCTGGAAGTTGGCACAGCCTGGAGGTAAAACCAGATGGGCTGCCCCCAAATGCCCCATCCCGTGGTCTTTCCAGAAATACAACATTGTCCCATCTGCCAACCTGGTTCTTTGGTGGGAGGAAAGCAGCAGGAACTCTTGGGCCGAAAAACAAAACTAAAATTAAGCACATGACCCTTCCTCACCTGTATGTGTGCGGACGTGCCTCTTCAGGTCAAAGGTGTCATTGAAGCCCTTGCCGCAGAAGGTGCACAGGTGCCTCTTCACCTGGTTGTGGCACTTGAGGTGCCGGTTGAGCATACGCTGTAGGCGGAAGCACTTGCCACACAGGTCACAGCTGTGAACTGCTGAGTCGCCGCATGTGCCTGTGGTGAACTGGGACAGAGAGAGAGGCCGTGAGGACCACAGTGCAGGCGGGCACATCTCACAAGCTTACTATGGGAGTCCACCTCCCTAAGTCTCTAGGCTTGGCCTGCTTTTGGCTTTGGGGAAGATGGAACAACTGGCAGTTCCTCCCAACGTTCATTCTCCCCCTTCTTCCTGAGAACAGACCTCGGATTTCTAGCAGGACGTTGTCCCCAGCTAAACATCTGCATTCCCCACCAAGTCATGGCTCTATGGCCACCTGGCTGATGAAATATACTCTCTCTAAGGGGGGAGGGTGTTTCCCTCTCTCTCATTTTCTCCTTTCTTGGACCACAAGGGGAAAGCCAGTGCTGAGGATGGAAGAGCAGAAAGAAAGGAGGAATCTAAGTCCTGATAACATAGAACCTGTGGTAGAAAGTCCCTAAAGACAGCTGCAGTCAATTCCTTCCTCCCTGTTCCTGCATGCTGCTGTATCCATCAAGAGATGCAGACTATCTCCTCTCCCCTTGGACCAACTGGATGCAGAGATAATGTGTCAGTTCCAGGTATTAAGAGACCATGCAGCTTCTATATCCTCCCTCTAGGAAAGGGAGCTGCCACATTAGAATCTAAGACCACCATGCTGCGAGGAAGCCCAAGCAGCCATGTGGAGAGTGGAAGGCCACATGGAGGAGCACAGAAGTACCAGGTATGAACAAAAAGCCTCACTGGACCTTCTAGCCCACCCATGGCTGCCACCAGATGAGTGAGTGCTGCCTGGAATAGAACTACCTAGCTAAGCCATGCCCCAGTTCCTGATGCACAAAATCATGAACAAACAGAATGATAATTTTGGGAAGTGACTTGGTTGGGAGCCCACAGCTTCATTACCAGCAAACTCACAACTAAATTTCAGACTCTGGGCTCTCATTCCAGCATTCCCTCAACTATGTTTGCCATCTCTAAGAAAGAAAACTGAGTCTATTATGGGAGTCCACCTGGATCATTCTTTGGTGGTGAAAACCACCAGATCTAATATATTCATCAAAGGTTTCCTAGTTACCAAATCAGATCCTTTAGAGCAGCGGTTCTCAACCTGTGGGTCGCGACCCCTTTGGTGGTCAAACGACCCTTTCACAGGGGTCGCCTAAGATCATCCTGCATATCAGATATTTACATTACGATTCATAACAGTAGCAACATTATAGTTATGAAGTAGCAACGAAAATAATTTTATGGTTGGGTCACAACATGAGGAACTGTATTTAAAGGGCCAGAAGGTTGAGAACCACTCCTTTAGAGGAATGATCCAACTGTTCTGCCAAAATTCTACTCATAAAAGAGCCTAAAAAATGTATTTTCAGACAAATATCATTAGCAAGAAAAGTTGGATCTTTCTGGGCTCGAAATCTTCCTAGCCTCAAATACCCTCCTCCTTTCATCCACCCTGGGTGTCACCCTCCGCTGAGACCCAGCTCGACTGTTCCTTCTCTGATGTAGCTCCTCTAACGACTACAGCCCCTGCCTGCACTGTTCTCTGACCCACAAGACCAGTGCCTCTCAAACCCAGAGTGCACACAAATCCCCTGGGTGTCTTACTAGAATGCAGGATCTGATTCAGGAGGTCTGATGGGGTCTACACACTGCATTTCTAACCAGCTCTGCATGAGAAGTGAGGCTGGAGCATTGGCCCTCACACAGTCCAGTACTTTATTCCATCTCATTCCAGAGGGTTCCATCACCCACAAATGTTTCCTCAGAGCTCATCCAGTGTCCTCAATGAAGTGCCTTGAGTCAGCAAGTGTTTGTGCACATTCCTGCCTCCCACCCCCAAACCCCAAGCCCAGACTCAGGTCAGTGCACATTCAGAAAGTGTCAATGGACAGTGGGTTCACAGGTGGCAAGATACAAAGAGATAGAAAGAGACTCCAGAACTGGGTTTTCCAGTTAGCCTCCTCTCTACCAGTTCTTTTTCATCGGCTCAGAGCTTAATTTGTCTCAGCTGACCAACTACTGCCTGATCTGTAACAGGTCCTGTGCTCAGAGCTGAGGGAGTACAGTCACCTGGACCACCTGTTCCCAAGAAGCTGCCAGTCTAGTGGGGGAGCGGACTGGTCAATAGGTCACTGACATCTGGAAAGCCCAGGTGCAATGTGCATCTCGGAGGAGCACCTGCCTCTGCCATGGGGCAAGGGGGAAGGTGCCGTTAGACTCTAAAGTTTAGAGGAAGTGAGCTCCTCAGCTAGGTAAAGATGAGGAGAAAGAGAGGAGGAATGGCAAAGAAAATTCCAGGAGAGGATGGTGGGAAACAGGGAGTGTGTGTGGTTCCACACTGCTAGCCTGAGCCCCAGGAAAGCAGATAATGAAGAGAGCTGTGGTAGCAGAGAATGGCAGGGTCCCCCTTAGGGCTCTACCTTACAGGGAGGTGAGCTTAAGTCTGTTCAAAGAGGGTGAAGGGGTTGGACATTGGAAGATAAAGGAGGACAGCTACTGGGTTGAGTTTGATGACTCAGATGGATAGTCATCATAGGCCTCCAACTTCCTCATGCCCCACCTCTGCCATGTGTTCCCCGAAGGGGTAGGACTTGGCACCCAGCCTGAAGGAGACCCAGCTGTGCCCAAGGCTTCCGTATTCCAATCACCAGGACAGGTCACGGTCTCCTCCTGGTCTTGCCTCCCTTGAAGAGATGTGAAAAGACTAAATATGGCCCACGTCTTGGAAAACTGAATACTTTGAGCTTCTCAAGGCCAAGGCTACTCAGGATAAAAGTCATTTGAGAGGTAGTGAGGGGCTAATAAAATAGAACAAAGACAACTGACCCTTGTAATTCTAATTAAAAACATGTAGAAAACTAGAACTGTCTTTTGAAAGTCTTATAGAATGTGCCTGAGGACTGGACAACTACATTTCCAACCTGACCTCTTGCTTACTTTAATCACTTTGGTAAATTTCTATTTTTAAAATGCTCAGCATGTAATATAGATACCTTCTAATACAGTCCAGGATGAAAAATCTCAAATCACTGGCATTATTTTCTTTGAAAAGAATAAAATCTTAAAGGTAAGAGGGAAGGGAGATTAGTGACAACTTAAGGGAGTGCAGGGCCAATGGATCATCTGACCAAGACACAGAAAACTTTTTAACATAGGGGAGAAAATGAGAATGGGGAGAGGGGGTAGAGACCGAGGGCACCCCATTCCCAGCGGGAACTTTCCTTTGGTTTTCTTGGAGCAAAAATAGAAGTTCTCCAAGCACGCTTCAGCAAAGGCAATTTTTCCATTTCTCCACCTCATATACATCCCCATTTCACAGTATGAATAACTGAGTCAGCACAAAATGACTCACTTAGGGAATTACCCTAAGGGGCAACCACCAATTCATGAAGTGGTACTTGCTAGCTATAGACATCTATGACCAATCCAGCCACCACACATTGTTATACTTGAAGCTTTAAGAGACAGCTTTGTTGAAACAAGATGTAAGGCTAATTAAATAGTAAAAGATCATGGCTGATGAAGCCAGCTTCTCCCAGACTAGTCCACTTCTCAGAAAAAAAGGGATGTTTGTAGGATAAATTTCTACATGTGAAATTTATCCCAGAGTGAATTTCACATTTTCTGCCTTGAAATGTGGTCTGTAATAGCAACAGACTGGAAACTATCTATATGTCTGTCAATAGGAATTTGTTAAAAATTTTTAAAAAGCGTTTCATTAAAGCAGCTGGAAAAAGAAAAGCATCAATTGTCAGCCACGTGCGTGAACCCTCTTGGATGTCCAGTCCTGTCAAAAGGCTCAGAAGAGTCCAGCCCCACCTGTCATCTGACTGCAATAGCATGAGAAGCCCCAGGGAAGACCAGCCCAGCAGAGATGAATCATTCCACAGAACTGGAAGACATAATGATAAATTATTTTAAGGTGCTAAATTTGTGGTTATTTGGGAAGCAGCAATAAAGTAAGTGGAATAGTAACCAACGTATCACATCCTCTCCAGAACACCAGCTCTATCGCTTTTCTGTCTCCCAAGATGGGCTGTATAAGAAGAGACACATCTGATCTCTGGAATGACATCCTGTGAGGCAGAGGACCAGCAATCCCTCCCTGGGCACATGTCTGCTCACTACACCACTCTTGCTATGTTTACACAGGTTTAGACCTTACACTCTACCTCCTAAAGTTTCAAAATAGGGTTAACCAATTTTACACTGTTACTCTACAAGTAGTAGACCCAAACTAGTTACCCTTTAGTCATCTTAGTTACAAAATGAGAGTGGAATGTTGAAACAGAAATGCTAAGGATCAAATAAAAACCTAGACCTGGCTAGTTATGTGACGTCATGTAATATCCCTGGGCCACAACTTCCCGCATGTAAACATAAAAAAAATGGTATTAGATGAGCTCTATGGCAGAATAGGAAGCTAAGAGCATCTTTTTTCCAACTTCCTAAGTTCGGATCCTGTTCCGCCACTTACAGACTGTGGGATGTAGGCAAGTTACTCAATCTCTCTAAGCTTTAATTTTATCACCTGTAAAATGTAGATAATAATGATATTTGCCTCTTAGGATTATTAAGGAATTAAATAAGAAGAACTACTTAATAAGCCTAACTCTTACAGTTAGACCAGCTCCAAAATTCTGTGATTCTAACTAAAAATCAATTGGTCAAGCCCTAGCTGGTTTGGCTCAGTGGATAGAGCATTGGCCTATGGACTGAAGAGTCCCAGGTTTGATTCCGGCCAAAGGCACATACCCGGGTTTCGGGCAGACAGCCAATCAATGATTCTCTCTCATCATTGATGTTTCCCTCCCTCCCTCCCTCCCTCCCACTCTCCCTCTCTCCCTCCCTCTCCCTTCCTCTCCGAAATCAATAAAAAAATATATTTAAAAAAATCAATTGGTCAAAACCCCTCATTTACTTATTTGGCTTTTGAATTTTTCTTTCTCTGATGAAAGAAAAAGGGGATTAACTTTAGTGTGAGTCACAAGTCCCCAGTCCTTCATCCGAAACTGAAATCCAAAAAGCTCTGAAAACTGACATTTTCTCCCATCTTCCTTGATAATAAAACCTGACACAAGCGAGCATGAATCTACACACAGACTTTATTCCTTTGGTATCAATATTCATGTGTTTTGATACAGAAATTATTAATGTGTTTAATTACAGGGTACTGCTCCAGACCTGCCAGGGGTGGTATTTATACCATGCTACTTTCTAAAAGCTTAATAGTCTCACCCTTAATCCAAAATTAACACTTTGCAAAAGGCTTATTAATGAAGTGAGGAAGCTACTATGGGGGGTGGGAGATGACATCAGTCCGGAGATTAATTCAGGACAAGAAAAATGAAGACAGAGAGCAAGCAATTCGTCAATCCCTCAGCTTGGCACTGTCTTGCTCACTGTCCTGTTTTCTGCAAGGTCTCGGCTTTCATTTTAAAAAACACACAAAGTTCCCCTCTAGTTTTTCTAAAAAACAGGCCTCTGCAGCAGAAACAAACCGATCATTGTATCAGTGCTGCTGAAAACTTCAGGAGCATCTGGGGAGGTAGGCCTTCTGACCAACTTCAAAGCTGGCTATGGTCACTTACCTGTCAACCTTCTAAAGTGAAAAATTTTTAAATCCTTTATTTTCTGCTGATGCTTCCATCAAACAAGTTCATTAAATTAATGGTCCTATTTTCTGTGGGAGGGTACTGTGAGTCCAGGCTATCTTATGACGGCCACATGAACAAGATTTCCAGGGGCACATTTGCTATGCTGGAGTGCTCAAAACATGCGAATCATATTTCCCCAATTCCTTTGGGATAAAAACTTCCCTCCTGGTCCCATGTAGCATTTCCTTAGGCTTCACCACTCTGCTATACGGCAGTGGAGAAGCTTCTCAAATGCAGAGATGATGAAGGAAATATATTCTTATAATCCATAAAAAACTGAGGCTCAAAGAGCTATAAAATGCCCATGGCCATATGGCTTTTAGGTACCCACAATAAGATTTTGAATGTGGTTTGTCTGCCAAACTAGTGTCTGCCGTTGAACTGTAAGGGAGGGGGAGGGAAGGACTCTGTTGTTTGTCTCATATGGTAAGAAACAGCTTCAAATTCCTTTATGTCAGACCGTCAGCACTAATGATAAAGTGTTAAAAATCTCCCATAATGCAATACAATAACATTGAAAGAATAAGGATTCTTAAGTTGGGCTTTGTCACTAACAGCTGTGAGGAATTCAACAAAACCTCCTGGTCTTTACCTTTCTCCCCTTCAAAATGAGGAGACTGCCCTAGCTGGTTTGGCTCAGTGGATAGAGAATCAGCCTGTGGACTAGTGGGGGAGAGGGGGGCGTGTCCTGGGAAGGGGTGGTCCTGGGTTTGATTCCAGTCAAGGGCACATGCCTGGGTTGTGGTCTCCATCCCCAGTAGGGGGCATGCAGGAGGCAGCCCATCAATGATTCTCATCATTGATGTTTCTATCTCTCTCTCCCTCTCCCTTCCTCTCTGAAATCAGTTAAAAAATAAAAATAAAAACAAAACAAAATGAGGAGACTGGACCATGTAAACTTTAAAGGTCCCTGTAGTGGATCCTATGTACACACAGTCAGCCTCTATTCCTACTCCTCTGGTGAGCCTTCCTATACTGCAGAGGCCAGTAAGCTAGCAACTGCATTTTCCAGACTCCCTTGCAGCTATGATCTTTAGATGTAACCCAGTAGGAACTTAGGTTCCATCAATTACTAGGTTAGCTGAAGAGAGGAAGGCACATGGCAATTGTTTCACACTCTGCATTAGCAGAAGCATCATGATGCATGATTAGGCAGCCATAGAGGAGGCAGCTGCAGCTCTCCAGGTTGCCCAATTCTGCAGTGTGGCTCTCGGAGGAGAGCCTGGGAGCTCAGCCTGGTCTTTCTTTAGTTCATTTAGTGCCCTATAATCAACCATTCTCTGCTTAAGCAAGCTATAGTAGATTGTTTTCTGTAACTAAACCCATGCAGTTCCTTCCAACAATAAAAACCCACTTCAACTCAGTGAGTGTGGCTCATGGTTCAGTGTTGAATCATGAACCAGGAAGTTTGATTCCTGGTCAAGGCATATGCCAGGTTGCAGGTTCAACTCCCAGTGCATGAGGCAGCAGATCAATGATTTTCTCTCATCACTGATGTTACTATATCTCTCCCTCTCCCTTCCTCTCCGAAATAAAAATAAGTAAAAACTTATATTCATATTAAAAGCTGATGCAGTTAATATGTATTGTTCTCTTATGCCTCCTTTTTTTCCTCTTTAAATTAAATTTTTTTGAGCATCTATTCTAAGCATTTTCCCAGATCTCCCTTTCTTCTTGCTTCCTGTTTTCCTCCAAATGCTATCACTTACATCTAGGGACTGTTGATCCCTTCTTCCCCGTCTGTATTTCTGTTCTGTGTTGACTTATGTCCTCCCATGAATCAGGCATTGCTGTACTGGATGCTGAAGATACAAGCCTGCCTTTGGTGTGTCCAGTTCAAGAGGAGTCTGGTCAGCCAAATGTGCAGTCAAGGAGATGATCAGTGAGTTACAATGGAGGCAGGAAGAGGGGCATCCAATTTTCTTGGGTGAAAGAAGACAATTAGGGACTGCACTTATGGTCCCTTCCAACTATCAAATGGATGTGTTTTTATAAACTACTGTACTTAAGTCCACAATTCACAACAATACTTAAAATAAACTAATTGGCCATCACTAAAGATTATCTTGAAAATTGGTAAATAAAAAGAATTTTACTCTGCCTTTCCTAAGTGAACTGTCTCACTAGGAAACAGGGGAAGTATGAAACAGGGGAAGTATCTCTCCATAGAAGGGACAGAATTAGAATATTACTGATCTATAAACCGTAATAACCTAAAATATTTAGACCTTGAGCATCAATGGCTGCTAACATCACAAAGAGACAACCAAACATTATGTAGCTCTTGATGGAAATAGACACCCCTACTGTGACAGATTTTAGCTATAATAAACCTGATCAAACATCTACAGCAGTGTTGGTGCAATACAACTTTCTGTGATGATAGAAATGTTCTAATCTGCACTGTCCAATACAGTAGGCACTAGTCACACATCACTACTGAGCACTTGAAATATGAGTCGTGCAAGTAAGGAATTTAATGTTTAGTTTTACTTAACTTTACTTAATTTAAATATAAGTAGTTATATGTGACCATGGCTACCATTTTGGACAGTGTAGCTGCAAATCCAACTACCATTTAGAGAAAACATATGGGAGGAAGGAGCATTAGACACAGCGGTGATGCATTCTACAAAACCCAGATTGCTGGACTCTACAAAACAAATTAGCCATCTCTTCAACAACTAACTAAAAAAGAGAGGGAGGAAAAATATATAAAGTAAAAGACACATCAATGAATTACAATGTGTGGACATTATGTGGACCTGATTCAGTAAACTGAAAAAAAAAAAGTTATAAGACAATTAGCAATGTGAACATCATTGTTAATGTGAGTATAATCATGTATTTTGGTCTTTATCTATTAGAGACACATTCAAAATATTTATGATGGCTGAGATTTGTCTCAAAATAGTGTTGGGGGGTGGATGGAGGAAGGATGGTAGTAGTAGCCTTGGGTTCATTGTTGTTAGGACCAAGTGACAAGTATTCCACAAGTATTTAAATTTTCATAATAAAATATGATGGAACAAAAAAAAGACACACATTCACACATCCATGACTACTAGAAGACTCAGGCTACAGAGCCAGGTAAAAGGCCAAGAATACTTTTGAAGGAATTCTAAACTCAATTCCTTTGAAGAATCCTTGGGAGAAACCAAAGGAAGAGAGAAAAGAATGGGATGGGGTAAGAAGACATTCACTTCTAGTCTATATTTGCACATGGGTCCCACCAGCCACTCTGAGTCAGGAATGAATAACATCAGTCAACTAACTGATTTAATTTCTGAGTCACTTTGTTTCTGATAAGCCTTGGGAGGACAGTGGTGATTGGGGTTGGGGGGAGGGGGTATCTCCCACCGCTAAAGACCTGCAAATGGATCCAGCTTTACAAAAGGGACTTAAAGCGACTTATACCTCTGGCATGAATACTTTCCCAGAGGTACACCATCTCCCCACCCCAAATCTGTTTTATAAATTACAGAATCCTCAGTAGTAAAGAAACAATTTCATAACCTACCCTAAGGCACACAGTTGAAAGATAGCTAGGCTGGGAAATAAAACCACTTAACTGGCACTTACGAGTCCTGTCCAGATCCACTGATCAGCACAATCAGGTTAGCAAATCCCTTGTTCCTACTGTAGGTAACAAAATAGCTATCAGTCATTGTCAGCTAACTTCCTATTGGGCAGTTCATACATGCACAAAAAGTGCTAAACATTTTGCACCCATTATCTCATTTAATCTATGCAACACTTCTGAGAGGATGATTCTATTATTTTCTCCACTTTACACAACAGGGAACTGAGGCTCAAACAGGTCACATATCCCCAACCACACCTGATGGTATAGATCCGAGGTTTTCCTTCTCAAAAACCTCCCAGAAAAAACACACACAACACAACAAAAACCTTCCAGAGCCCCACCCACAACCCCAAGGGAATTTCCACACTTCTTGATTTAGCCTCTTTACCATCCCACCCGGTATTAGCTACATTTCCAGCCTCACCTTCAACTTTTTCTGACCCCAATAGTTTCCCATCCTGCAGTCAACATAGCTGAGTTCTTTCCTTACTCAAGTTTTGGGCTGAGCCCATACCTCCCCTTCTCCATGGGCCTCAAATTCACACAAGAAACTTTCCCCTGCTCAGAATTTATCACATCTTTGCTTGTGCTTCTGGGTTAGCATTCACATTCCTGTCGTAGTTAATAATTAATATTTGAGTCTCCCCACCAACCCAACTAATTCTAGCTAGAGTTCCTACAACTTCTACTCTTAACTCATTTATCCACAACTCTCTAAGTATCCTTATTATCCCCACTGTAAAAGCAAGAAAACTAAGGCCCAGAGGGATTGGCAATTTGCCCAAGGTCACACAGCTAAGAAGTAACAAAAGCCAGAGCCTGGAGGCTTAGTCATTTCTGTCCAATGATTCTGGAACTCTAGGATGGGAGCATTTTTATGCTGGCTGCCTGATACACAGCAGGCACTCCATACTATTGGATGGGATGTTGCTTTTCTCTGCAGATCACACTTGCCCTTCCTCTGGTCCTAATAGCCAACAGCCAAATGTCTTCAAGTCATTGAAACTACAGTCATTACCACAAGGGTCTCATCCTTGAGAGACTTTTCACTTCTAGTTAGAAGACTAATTCCTAGAGAGTTCAGCTTGCTTTGCATAGAACTCTAGAGTTATCCAAGGCACTAAATTTAACCAGTCAACTGAAAATGGCCAATATCACGACTAATAATTCTGGAGGCTCAAAGCATCTTAAAACCAAGATGTCTCCTATTTGTGGGTGAAACTGAGAGGGAGAAGGAACCAGACTGTCCTCCTGAGTAAACTAACACTCCTCTGGAAACTATGTTAACAGTTGAGGGGCAAACTCTATGCCCCACCCCCATCCCTGCGACTGCACATAGACAGTGATCATGGAAATAGATTTGGTTTATTCATTCCCTTAAGCCAGATAGCGCTGTTTGCCTGAGGCAGCAAAGAAAGATCTCCTAAAATGTTGGTAAAGGGACTGGATATTTTCCCTCTGCTACTTTTTCTCAAGGGTAATCTGGGCATCCAGGGGCAAACTGTCTGCAATCCATTCCAAAACAACGTTGCAATTGTCCTTCCACCCAGGCGATAAATATGCAAGTGGGACACTGTAGAGTTTCCTGGAGGGCAGAACTACCAGCCTCAGGCAAACTGAGCCCTCCCACTTAACCCCATCTGGCCCACAAAAGCCTCAGGCTAGCTGACTTTGAACCTCCGCAGAACCTTTAACACTAAGCAGCATCCCTAGTTGGCAGCATCTTTTAAAGATGTCTTTAAGATTCCAGCACAGGCCTCTAGCCTCAATTCATAACCAAATGCACCCCCAGACCACCTCCAGCCAAGCCCTCTGAGCTATGCATCAGAAAATATGCATAGGGGAGGGTGGTCTCTCCCAGGAAAAGTAACGGAGACTTTCCTAATCCACAGCCAACGCTAGGGATCTTCTTCCCCAGCTCCCCACCCCCCAGCCAAGCCCCAGGAGCCAGGAATATGCAAAGGGGAGAGCCCGCCTCTCCCAGGAAAAGCAACGTAAACTTTCCTAATCCATAGCAAACTCTAGGCCTCCTCCTCCCTATCTCCTCCTGGGCAGCCGGACCGCGGGAACGCCCAAGAATTATCACCTACAGCGAGGACCTGGAGTCCGCGAAGGGTCATCCGGCTAGCGACGAGGTTCGTGTGATCCCTAAAACACCACTCCCTGACTCCAGGTGGCTGTGAGTCAGTGAAACGGGATTCCTTAACCTAGGAGGTAGCGGATACCTTTGAGCAGGCAATCGTGTAAGCACAGAAGAGCGTCCGGATAAGATGTAGCCTACCATTCTAGAAGAACACCGGGGTAGGGGGCGGGGATGGGGGGGCGGGGCTGAAGCGCGAAGATAGAGGGGAACAAACACCCCAGCCCACTGAGGACGCGGCATGAGGCAGTTTACAGTTGACCTCATTTGTCCATCATTTTAATTCAAGAAAATTTGAAACAGACCCATTTAAAGGGCCCTGCAGACCTGGTGTCTAACGGGCACTCCATAATTGGCACTGGGAATCGCTGTTATTATGCGTGGCCCACTGTGTGCCAAGCTGCCACCACTGTCTCCAAAACTAAAGGAAGAGTGTGAAATTTAGAATTCACAGAGCGCTTGGAGTTCCGGTGCCTAGGTCTCTCCTCTCCGACCACCGGGACCCCGACGACCTGATTATTCTCTGGCCCTTGCGCACAGAATGGGAGGAAAGAAGCAGAACCTGAGCCTTTCAGGTAGTTTCATAGGCCGCCGACCGACTGTGCCCGCTCGGGGAGCTGGCCTTGGGAGCGCAGGCGGGCGGCTCTCATGCCAACCGGAGGACGCGCGGAGACCCCTTGTCGCCTGCCTGGTGACAGGTGTTTGGAT